CCCATAGGGGGCCGTGCCCTTAAAAAAGACACGGATACCACACCGCCAAATTCCTCATCTTTTTCCTTTGGGTACGAGTTGCCGTACACTATTAGCCGACTCCCTAARTCTTCCACSTCCACGATCCGACCTTCTTCCTCTGTGACCAGTGGTCCATATTTCTTCTCGCGAAATCGCACCGCGCGGCYGGAGATAGGTAACRACTTAATCTGATCACTGGGTCTCGCACCCACAGCGAGAGCTGCTCTGTTCCTCGRGTCCCGAGGCTCCACTGTCTTAATCATTACCCGCGTCYSGTCTGGCTTCTTAATRGACAATGTTTSGCTCCCATCAGGTCGCTCTATCGTCACCGCATGCACGTGGCTCAGCCACGTTCGACCCAAGAGCAGGTCGGAGCTGCAGTTCTTGACTGCAAAGACAGGCAGGGTCACTCGTACCCCTTGGACCTCTATGGTTGCCTTGCGACAAACCCCAGTGATCTGTTGCTTTCTCCCATCAGCCGTCTCTATCTCGAATAGGTATGACCTATCGAGGCTCAGTCCAACCTGTACTGCCAGGTCCTCGTCTATGATGACAGCCTCACTATCGTTATCGATCACAGCATCGAGTACCGCTCCATCGTTTATAATCGTCTCCACGGCCCCGCTACCAAGTATATAAAACTTGTCTGGAGGCACACCTTCCATTCCATCGAGAAGGACTGTCGCCATGCGATCCGCTCTGGCAGTCACCCCCGTTACTGCTACTGTAGAAGCTTCCGCCTTAGGGGCCCCGTGACCCTCCTCCGATTGAGGTATGCGTGTCTTCCGCGTGATCATCTGTAACTCATCACGAGCCGGCTTCGATGCCGCCATGTACTCCAGAATAGAGCACTGCATGGGTTGCCAAAGGGCCCGCCTCAGTGGCCCGCCTCAGTGGCTCGACCGTGTCAATCTCGTCCAGCGAACTCTTCATTAAGAACTTCTTCACTCCCCGCTTTCGCGCCGATTCGTTCCATTTTCGAGTTTTACTACAGCGGCGTTTGTAGATCAACGGGAAAGCACTCCAACTTCTGCTTTCCACGTCTCTCTCTCCGACTGCACACTCTCTCTCTGCACACTCTCTGACTATATGCACTCTCTCTCTCATATCAGAGTTACACATACCTGTTTGCCTACAAATTTAGTGATCTTACTTAGGGAGTGGAAAAACTCGAATAGTTGATCGGCGGAAAGCTCAGCTGCCTAATCAGTGACTCTGGCCGTTCCTGCTAGCAGCAGAAATACTTGATTGACTGGCCAGCAGAATACTTGATTGCCTGATCAGTGGAGCTGGCCCCTCCCGCTAGCAGCAAGAACTCTTGAATAGCTGGCCAGCAGAAGATGCAGCTCCACTCAGCTTGCGCCAATGAGGGTTGTGTAYTCYTGACACCCCCCCTTGTACTGTTCGACTGRCACGTACGCATCAGCACTGATAGACGGGTCAAAAMCCCCCATCCCCCTTAATGACTCCCCTCCTTCTTCAGTTCTCCGACAAGCTCTGAAGTCAACCAAGCCAAATCACTGCGTACACCTGGCGCACGTTCCCCGTTCSCTCARCACCCACCACTTCGTCTTGCCCCCTAGCCCCRATCATCTCGCGCAYTATCCCTCAASTGCACCCCCCCCARCGTAACTGCACCRAGCACACCGTRCACACCTTGCTCACACCGAGTTCCCCCCCTTCCTCTTTTTTCGCATATCTGCCCCCACTATATCCCTTGGCCCTCAGCCGTTTTCAGCTTCAGCCCTACCAGGCCCGGTCCTGAGCAGTCAATGTACTAGTGTGGTCGGTCCATCCTAGGCCCAACAATATCAATTTGGGCGAACAGGTCCCCCGCTAGCAAGGAAAATGAAAGAAAATCGGTACCATGAAACCAGTTGCGCACCAGGGACCAAGTTCACAGGCTCAATTGTTGTAACCCCAAACARTGAGTGTAACGTTACCGTACCAGATCCTTTATACGAGCTTGTGGCCAAGCTGATCCCAAGCCACCGAGCCTGATTGTCGTGTGATGCCACACATACCTTKYCMGCCATCAGAGCAATCGAACCACGTGGTCATACCGATCTTGTGACCGTACCGTACTGCCCAATGAACAACGCATTGCGAAACCAAGACCGAACTTTACCAACGCCGCTCACCGCCGATAGAAGAATCACCGTAGTAGTACCAGCCCCCGGGTCTGAAAGTAGGTTCCAGCCAACAGTCCATGTCCATGCCGGATCAATGTCGAACCTGCAAATAATGCAGCGGCGCGTACCTCTCTGATGTCGAACCAC